CCAAACCCCTTGAAGACTATGGGCTTCTTAATTCCTTTTATCACTTGGAATACTGAGGTTAAAAATTAAAAATAGGGGTAAAGGTGGTAGCTCCTTGGTAGAGCATTTGCCTAGCACATGTGAAACAAAGGGTTCAACCCTCAGCAGCACATATAAATAAATAAATAAAACAAGGATATTGTGTCCATGTACAACTAAAAAAAAATTTTTTAATAAAATTAGTGCTGCAATTCCCATAAGCCTTCGAGAGAGAGAGAGAGAGAGAGAGAGAGAGAGAGAGAGAGAGAGAGGGAGAGAGAGAATATATGAATCTCTGGGTAGCATCCAGCAAATTTTCCTCTATGGTTAGGTCCTGAGATCCTTTCTAAAGTATGTGAGTAGCAAAGGCAAAGTTCACCTCTTCTTTCAATAAGCTTGACCTTGATGCTGTTTCATAAGACGATTATATAGAAGGATACTTGTTCCCAAGATCACTTCTTGCTAAACCTCAGTGATGGGGGCTGCAAGGGCCATAATAATTTATTTAAATTTATTTAAATAATTTATTTAAATTATTCTACATCCTCATGTTGAGATAACCTCTACTGGAAATCATTTTATGGATGAATATTTAATGATGTAAAGAAGTGATTACAGTGTATTACAAAATAACATAGACAGTATTTTCCCAATTTTATACACATAAAAGGGAAATGCACTAAAATATCAAAAGAGAATTTTTTTAATGAATGGTAGAATTATAAGTAATTTTTTTGGGTTCATTTTATATTTTTAATTTTTTTTATCTTTTATTGATTTTATTTTTTTAAATACATGACAGCAGTGGAATGCATTATTATTCTTATTACACAAATAATAGAGCACAATTTTTCATATCTCTGTATATAAAGTATGTTCATGCCAATTTGTGCCTTTATAAGGTACTTTGTTTTTCTTTGCATAACAATTCTTAATGTTCATATTTACCACAATTTTTCATATCACATTTTTCATACATGAAAAATGTGATATGAAAATATCAATTAAGTCTTCTGTTCTCATATGTATATGAAAAATATCAAATTTACCACAATTTTTCATACCACATTTTTCATATGTATATAAAATATGTTGTGATGGCGGCACCTGGCGCCTAGTGATGGTGCCTTCTGTAGCCAGCATGGGTGGGCTGTGTGGGCGGTCACAGGCGTTCTTACTCCAACGTGTACAGAGAGATTGTGCTGGACTCCAAAGCGAGAGCCGTACTGTATAAAAGCCGAGTTTGTGCCAAAAAGTTCTTTCTGGACAGAAGCGAGAAGCAAAGGTGARCCTCATGAAACCGATCCATTTGTGAGACCCATGGAAAAGTTCTTCACTGAAAAGAGACCTTCGTTATTCCTGATCTGATGGTATCTGCCTAGAAGTCTACTTTGCCTCATAAACAAGAAATGGAGAGTAGCATCCCAAGTCATAGGACTGAGTGACATCATCGCATACCTCCTGCCATGACACATGGGGAAACTCGTGGGGAGTCTGGATGGTTCTCTGATCTTGCAGACTTGGGTTCTGAGAACCCAAGGACTTGTACCTGTCTGACCTGTAGTTTGATGGTCAACACTGGAAATGGGACTTTGTCACACGTACTTCATGGAAGCCTTAGGCATTCAACGGTTCCAATGGCACCCACTGTGCCTCTCCTGTCTGGTGCCATCATATTCACATGGACCGTCCCTTTGTTCTCCAGAACGACTGATGTGTATTACAGCAAGACTGCAAGTCCACCCATGACACAGGGATCCTCTGACAGATGCCTCAGAACACCAMTCCCCRCAGTGGAGTTGGGCTTCCCAGGGCAAGCTGTTCAGGCTGGGGTTGGCCTCCGTGTAGCCCAAGAGTCTTCTTTACCATCCTGGGGCAGGTTCTTAGTGCACACCACAGGCAACTAACAGGACGAGACATACTGTATAAGCACAATTAAGTCTTCGGTTCTCATGGACTTTAAATATGAATGTTTGTTGGGTTGGTTGGTTTGTGTACCGGGGATTGGACTCAGGGGCTGAGGCTGGCTTTAAACTCACTATCCTCCTGCCTCAGCCCCCCAAGCTGCTAGGATTACAGGCCTGTGCCACCACACCAGGCTCTTGTTTAATTTTTTTGTACAGAAAATGATTTTAATYAACTTGCATTGGCTGTATTCCATTGGCCAAACCTAGCATGAGAAGCAGAAAAAGGGAGGCTTGTCCTGCCCAAGTTAGGAGGGTGCTGCCATTTCTGTGTATTGGTGTGGTTTTGTTATAGTTAAGAATTGGGGGGGCTGGRGATGTGGCTCAAGCRGTAGCGCGCTCGCCTGGCATGCGTGCGGCCCGGGTTCGATCCTCAGCACCACATACCAACAAAGATGTTGTGTCCACCGAGAACTAAAAAATGAATATTAAAAATAAATTCTCTCTCTCTCTCTCTCTCTCTCTCTCTCTCTCTCTCTCTCCTCTCTCTTTAAAAAAAAAAGAATTGGGGCATCAATGCTATCTGTCCCCCAAGGAAGTGTTTTTCTATCTAGCTTAATTTTTTTCTCTGTTTCGTTCTTTCTCATAGACTTCCATTAAATGTTACCTTAGGAAAGACTGAAATAGTCTTCAATGAAAATATTGTTATCTGCTCAAAACAAAAAAAAGTATGTTGACCCCCAATTCGAGTCTTCATACCTTGTTTAATGATGTCCATCACATTCCACTAAACCTTGCTGATCCCCTGCCCTCTCCCTTTCCCTCCCGCCCTCTTCCCTATGAAGAACTCATCTACTCCTCCCATGCTCCCCCTCCCTACCCCACTGTTCATTTTATTTATTTTTTCCTGCATTTTCCAAGTTTCTTGCTGTAACCGAGTGGGGAAAGGCTTGACGTTTCTCTACCAGCCTAACTTAGGGCCTCACCCTTGCTCTCTTAGAGCGACCCCTCCCTCTGGGGACATTATGACCAATGCAACCTGCAGAGGTCTCCAGGCTGGGGGGTCCCTGGGTGTGTCCTGAAGGACCAGGGACTGGTGGCTTAGATGACCCAATGAGAAGGAGAACTGGAATCTTCTTGGGGCTTGGACAGGGGGCCTTGGTGGTAGATGAAAAGGTAGAGAGAAAGAAAGGTCAGGAGAGAGGCAGAGTCTCACTCCCTGACCCCGTCTCTTCCYGCCACCATCTTGTCACCTGAATGCACCCTGGGTGAGGAAGGAGGTGAGATTTGCGAGGTGGCAGAAGTATGAAACCCCCACTTTGCAGTTTCCTGAGACGCAGAGGTGCGTGCTTCTCTTTCTGCCTGTGTTTGGGTTTAAATATCCTCACTTTCAGAAAAATCCACTTGGTTTTTGCTTCCTTCTTCTCTGAGTAGGTGAAAAAATCACTGGAAATGCTCAAAACGAGGCAGAACAGGAGACAGCCACCAGGTTCAGCATCTTCTTGAAACAAATGAGCACGAGTCTGTTTTCGACGATGCACAGTGTAAACTGGGCACCTAAAGATGTTTCGTGTGTGAATGTGTCGGGGGCCACGGGGTTTATGTGGATGGGACCAATGTCCCTATAATGAGATTTTAAGTGGATCCACCCAAGGCGTCGACATTCCTTCCTTCCAGCAACAGCTGGCCCATGTCCCATTTCCACCTCGACCAGCTCTGCAGCTGGAAGCCAGTCCCTGGGCTCTCCAGGAACTCTGTCCCTGTCCCAGGCTGGCACCCAGGGGCTTCCTGCACAGCCAGAGCCCTTGAGACCATCCAGCTGTGTGTCTGGTGATGTGAACTGTGCACAAATCCATGTCTTCTCAGATGCTGGAGCCCCCACCTACATGTATGAGTTTCAGTATCGCCCGAGCTTCGTATCAGACATGAGACCCAAGTCGGTGGAAGGAGACCATGGGGACGACGTCTACTCTGTCTTTGGGATGCCATTTTTAAAAGGTAACAGTTGTGCTAGCTTCAAGCTTGTGGACAGTAGGCCTGGGTTCCAGTGTTGCTTTGGTGGCCTTGAGCAACTTCTGCTGTCCCAGGCTGAGCTTCTGACTCCCTGGAACAGGGCTGAGCTACCCAGGGCAGTTCCCAGCCTCTCTCCTGCTACGATGCGAGGAGGAGGAGGTATGTGCATGTGTCCTGAGCCAGAGTGACTCTCAGAATCCTGACCTGTGACATCAATGAGAGAGGTGGTGGTCCACCTGCAGGGCCCTCCTCTATAATAAAAATGCTGCTGCTTGATTTCTACTTTAAAAGGCATCTTAGAGTGTGCGAAAGGGTGAGGTTAAAACTGGTGATGACTTCAAATCCACTGTCATATGGAACTGTCTATGTATGTATCTAAAAGTCATCTATTCTACCTAGACCAGTAAAATAATACTAAAAATAGTAATCATGTAATATTTTTAAGAAACTTTTCACAAATGTCTTTGATATGTGAACTCAGCARTTGCGGAGGACTTGTGACCCGCCTCATGGCTGTTCGTGACACACCAGGCGTCTCCCAGTCAGGTGACTCCTTAGGCTCTTAGCGTGTCTGATATTTTTCAGACTCTCTGGAAATGTGAATGCACACAGGAGATTAAGAAACAACCTGAGAGCTAGAAATCCTACAAGATCGAGGAAACCCAGGGGTGACTTTTGGACCTTGAGTGCGGAAGGACAGGAAAAGTGAGGAGAAGACAGAGACAACCAGCTTCCCGATGAACTGCATGCCCGTGGCTGAGTCCTTTACTCAAGGGGTGTGTGTGTGTGTGTGTGTGTGTGTGTGTGTGTGCGCGTGCCCGCCAGGGACCAAACACAGGGATACTTGACCACAGAGTCACATCCCCAGCCCTTTGGATATTTCACTTTGAGACAGGGTCTTRCTAAGTTGCTGAGGCTGGCTCTCAACTCATGATCCTCCTCCCCCAGATGCATGTCCTGCATTTCCCACAAGGTGCTGCTGCTGGCCCATGCAGTCAAAGCGTTTTTTCCTTCTTCCCCAACAGGGGGCGCCTCACAAGAGGAGACCAACCTCAGCAGGATGGTGATGAAATTCTGGGSCAACTTTGCTCGCCATGGGTGAGGCTGGTGGCAAAGAGGGAGCAGGCTGGGTGGGTGGCTGGGTGGGTGGGCGGCATGGGGTGGGGCCTACCCTTTGGGAAGAGGTGAAAGTGGGAGTGATAGACCCCAGAACTGTGACGGTGGTGCGCTGAGAACTTACAGGCCGCCCCGAGAGATGGAGAGTTCTCTGGAAGCAGAGAAAGTCCAGGGGGTCCCTGAAAGGTCTCGGAGAAATGTTCGGACCACGAAGTAGCTTTGGGTAATTTCTATTTGGTTCTGCTCTCAGGAACCCCAATGGAAAAGGACTCCCCCACTGGCCAGAGTACAGCCAGAAAGAAGAGTACCTGAAGATTGGCCCCCAAACCAAGGCCGCCATGGGGCTGAAACACAGGGAAGTGGTGTTCTGGACCACGCTTAGGTCTGGGAGAATAGGACAGCTGCTTCACGAAGGACAGGAGTGTAGGGATGCCACTGGCCAGAGAAGAGAGCTGTGTATGAGGGACAGAAGCAAGAGGACTCGGAGCACAGAGGACTCCTAGTTCTGGGTGCCACCCTCCAAGAACCCCGGGGGCAAAACAGGTGTGGGTTCTGAGGGGCTGGAGAATTGTGGGATGGGCTCGGCATAGACCAGGGAGGGGGCATGTTTTTGCTGATGACCTCCATTTGTGAAATAAATGTTSTTCCTGTTATCAAATCAGTCTCTGGGACTGGAGCTAGAGATGAGACCTTCCTCCTCAGAGGGAGTCTGCAGAGACAGGCACCATCAGGAGATAGGAAGGCTTCGCTTCTGTTGGGGTAGCTCATCCTCTGGACCTGCCCCAGTCCAGCAGTATGGGACCCTGGACCTGCCTCATGTCACAGGACCCCCAACAACTTCCAACAAGAGGATCTGGGATGGTCAGTGTGGAGGGTCTCCCTCCTCAATTKGGAACTCTCTGTGGAGAAGGCCAGGTGCCACGGTGAGCCTGTGGCATAGTTCCATGGCTTCCTGCCATCCCACAGCTCTGCAGTCCCCTCCTCCACACACACAGTCACCACCCGGGCCCCTCCACGAGACGCTCCCCTCCGAAACCTCTTCTGAGCCCTTCTGTACCCTGGACCACTTCAGATCTCAGCAGTGACCTCACCAGAGCAAGACCTTGAAAGGATCATYCTAGAACAGCCTCCTTCAGAAGTTGAGGGCTGACTGCTGGGTTCTGCCAGGTTCACAAAGCTCTGAGGAGTCTCACTCCAACCCTGACAGCAGGGGACAGCTGGGTTGTCCTCAGCATCAGAACCTTCTGCACCAGAGAGCTGAAGGGGCAAGGCACGTGGGCACCCTGAAATCCAAAGGAAGACAGCATTTGGAGGAGAGGTGGGCGTGAACACTGGCTTATTTTCCCGTCGACAGGAGGAGAATTTGGTTGTCCTGTGTGKGAATGGAAATATTCTGAACGGTTTAATCCAGTGCTAAAGGCTGAATGTGGCCTAGTATGAGAGTTTAAAATCCCTGGAACTCGAGTAGAAAAACCAAACTCAGCCCCAGCTTGCCCCAGACACTCACCACCCAGATCCCTTCTGACTCCAGCTGTGTGGGGGGTTGTTCCCCCACGTATCAAGCAAGCAATTCTGCAGCAGCCRAGCCGCCGCTAACTCAATTGGGTTCTGGTGCTGTCTCTAACAAAACTGCCCCTTCCTCCAGATGCCAGGCACAACTCCACATGGTTGTTACCTGAACTTCTTACTGACTGGCTATAAATCGGGATTCCCAAAGACCCTCTCCTTGAGTTTGATTAGTTTGTTCAAGCAATTTACTGAATTCAGGGAATTCAGTATGTGTGTGTGTGTGTGTGTGTGTAAAGGATATTACAAAGGACACAGATAGAAGGTGAGCTATGGGGACAGAAGCTCAGGTACTCGTAGCACAGAGTGCCCATGGTTCTCTGTGCCACCCTCCATACGCTCAGTTCTCCAGAATCTCCCCGAATCCTGACCTTTCAGACGTGTGGAAGCTTCCTTTTGTCGGCATGATTGATGAGACCATCAGAGGTTGGTGACCAGCTCAGCCTTCAGTGCCTCTCCCCTTGGGGGCTGGGGGGCTTTAAGCCCCAGCCCCCTTTCCCTGCTTTTGTCTTTCCACAGATCAGCACCTTCCAGAAGCGACCTCGGGGTGCCAGCGATCATTTGCATCCAAAAAGACACTTTAGAGATTCTGAGGATTTGAGGAGACATATGCCAGGAAACCGGCCTGGCATCCACAAATGCAATATCACCAAACCACAGACCCAAGGAGAGTCTACACCCCTGACAGACTCCTCTCCGTGGTGCTCATGAGAAAGGCTGAGCACGGGTAATAAGGCTGAGAAAAGCTGCTTCCAAGGGTGCGGGCCTGAAGCTCTGCCAGGTCCTTCTCCCATAAAGAACAAAAACCACCACCAGGAAGAGGGCAGCAGACCTGACCCCTCCTAAGGAACTGGTGAGCACCTGTTGAGGCCGAACAAAAGGAAAAATGTTAAGCCCTATACCTCCCGCTATGGCGCACCAACATCTCCAGGGTCAAGATCATTAGAGAACTTTGAGTGCTGGTGGGAGGCAGGATCCCTGAGGGGAACGCCAGGCTCCCCAAGGTTGAATCTCAACCAGGGCAAGAGAAACAATTCCCGGATGCAAAGAACCAGTGCCAGGACTTTACCGCTGGGGAAGAGTAGGAGTCTGGAGAGAGACCTTCCCTGTAGGCAGGAGCACAAGGCAGGTGTGGAGCAAAACAATTCTAAAACCCTTCAGAACCGTTCCTGCGCACAGGGGATACAGAACAGAGCTCAAGGGCACACTGGAAGAACTTGAAGCTGGTGGTGCACTTAGGATATCCAAGGTAACAGTGTGCACACACACACACACACACACACACATGCACACACACACATGCACACATGCACACAATCAATCAAGAAGAAAAAACACTCCGTTTTTACTCCTAAATGCCTTCAGTTTCTACTTTCTTACACATGATGTAAAGCATTGAATCCAAAAATTGTAAACACACACACACAGAGCAAGAAAACATCCATTAACAAGAGAGAAAGCAAACAACAGACCCAGATTCAGAGATAACCGAGGTGTTGAAACCAACAGCCTGGAGACTTATGAAAAATTTACATGAAAGGATGGGTAATGTCACGGTTTGGATAGGAGATGTCTCCCAAAGGCTTATTACATTTGAGACAATGTAACAAGGTTCAGAGGCAAAATATTTAGGTTATGCAAGGTGTAACCTAATCAATGGCTTAATCCACTTATATGGATTAATTGAGTGGTAACTATAGGCAAGTAGGGGTGACTAAAGGAGGTAGGTGACTGAAGGTGTGTACCTTGGGGGTATATATTTTGTCCCTGCTGAGCAGAATGCTCTGTCTGAGCTTCCTGATCGCCAGGGACTGAACTGCTTTGCCACATCCTCTGCCATGATGCTCTGCCTCACCTGGAGCCCCAAGGAATGGAGTTAGCCATCTATGGACTGAGACCTGTGAAACTGTAAGTCCCCCAAATAAGCTTTTCTTCCTCTAAATTTGTTCTTGTCAGGTCTTTGGGTCACAGCAGCATAGCATGCAGGCAGTGACATGGATATTGCTGGCAGCTTTTAGCCAAGTTTATTATGATAATCAGGAGCAGAAAGAGTTGAAAAACTTGCAGTTTGGCCAGAAAACTTCAGGTAAAGCTGGGGCTAAGGAAGGTGTGGTTGTTAAAGAGATTGCAGCCACTAAAGACATGGTGGATACTTTACCCAGAGACAACAGGAAAGGTGGCTTGCGGGCATCTCAGTGATTGGCAAGGCCACACACTCAAGGATGTAAAGGTAAAAATTCCTTTGAGAGGAGACCATGGGAGCACCCTGCTTGCACAGGGGTGCCTGGGAAGTTGTTTCACCTTGTTCAGCCACCCAGGCACTCAGAAGCTGCTGTGACCGTGGTCCCCAGAGGCCTGACTGCTGCTTGAGATAGCAGCAGACCATGGCATCATCCTCATGGGGCTGGTTCTGCAGGAATGCAGGATGCTGGAGTTTGGGGGTGATGGAGGCTCCCACCAATATTTCCAAGGAAGGCCTGGGAGGCCAGGCAAAGTGTAGCAGGGCCAGTGTCCCTGAGGGCTCTGAGACCCTGAGAGGGCAATGCATGAAGTGAGATGAAGCCCCGGGATTAAGAAATGCCAGCACCAGGGAGTGTCCGCCAAGGAGGGCCTCAGAAAGCAAGCTCAGACAAGCCAAAAGAGGGGCCACGGGGCTGCGACCCACAAGGCCACAAGAGCAAGCGACACAGCTCTTGGGAAAGAATAGCGGATGCCAGGTACCCCGAATCCTGAACATGGAGCTACGGGGCTTGTCTGCACAGCTGAATCTGGGTCTGGCTTTGGTCCCATCTCGTCTTCTGTGCCCCTGTTTTCCCTTATAGTATGGAAGTGTTCCTCTGTTCCTGTCTATGGGGCCATGTGACTTGCTTTCAATATTTACAGGGACTCATTGTTAAGAGTTTGTCTTGAGTCTCACATGTATTTTGGACCTGGACTTTTGAGCAACGCTACAACTGTTAGGACTACAGGAACTCTGGGAAAGGAACTAAAAATATTTTGCATTGTGAGATGGGCATGAGCTTTTGGGAGCTGGGGGTGAATACTATACACACAAAAAAAAGAAAGAAAGAAAGAAAGAAAGAAAAGGAAAGGAAAGAAAGGGAAAAATTGCAGCCCAATAATAGAAAAATATTGAAGCATTAAAAACATTCAATCCAAAATCAAGCAGTTAAACTGTGAAATAAAGGAACCAAGAACACAGAACCACATAGAATATTCTGTTAAACCAGATTTTAATCCAACCATACCGATAATCATGTGAAATGAAAATGTTTTAAAATTCTCAATTAAAAGAGATTATTAGATTAGATTTTAAAAGCAAGACCAACCCGGTGGTGCGTAATGAGGCACCTACTCCGCTCCTGATTAATGCACTGCCCACAGCTTTGAAGCCTCGCCCCTCCCCCGCCCATCTTGCCCCTTATCTGGACAGGCTGATAGGCAAGGCTGGTGCTTCCTCCTTTGGTGCCAGCCAAAGATCCAAACCTCCCAAAGCTCACCATGGCCCCCTCCCCTAACCAAACAAAGGCCCTGGGCCAGTGTCCTTCCCTTGCTCTCTCAGGCTGTGCTGGACCTGTCTTGCAGAGACCCCAACCATGCAGGTAGCAAAATCCCTTGAGCTTTCTTGTGAGCCATGGGGAGTGGCCTCATCTTTCGGGACTGTAACCCTGGGGCGGAACTAGAGAGCTAAGCACACAGCTGGGTTGAGAGTAAGAGGCAGAAGAGACGCAGCCCAAGATACCCACAAGGAAAGCTGGGTTCCACAGGGACATGTCCTTAGACAAAGGGGTCAACTCACTGAGAAGCCATGGTAGTCCTCGATGTGGACACACCCAACAGCAGYGTCACCGAGGACCAGCGTGATGTCTTGGGTTTGGTCCACTCAAGTGCAGGCCCTGGGTCAAGGATTGGGGTGTGGCCATTGGGGGGAGAGGGTGACCCCAGGAAGCACTCAGAGAGGAGAGGAGAGAGACGGGAAGCCAGCGGTGTGCTGCGAGCAGCTGGTCCTCTGTCCCAGTGGGGACCCMCAGAAGATGGTCCAACACAAACCCCAGAGCTGCTCCTGCAGAGGAGGAGGAAGGTGGGTATTCAGGCACCAAAGCTGTCCCTGCTCAGGAGCTGCTCCCCTGGCATGTGACCTGTCCCACGGAGAAGGCCCCGTGGGGTGACTGGTGCTTGTTGAGGGAGGCTGCTCAGCCTCTGGGAACAGCAAGTGTAAGGTTGATCGGGAAGGGCACATTGTGTCTGTTAGGCCACAGAGAACAGAGGGCCACCCAGAGAGGGGACCGGCTCAAAGCCCCTCAGAAGCCATTAACCAAGCCCCTGGGGCCAAGCCAAGGCCCCCTAACTCCCACACAGGGTTCTTTCAACCACTCTGCCCCGGGCTGACCCCTCTCCACCCGGGACGACAGACACTCTCCCCCTTGACCACGCTCTGTGGCCTGTCCCTCTGTATCTGCCCACAGTTGGTCCCCTCTCCGCTTGGCTCCGGAGTGCGTCAGGGATTGTCAAACACCGCTTGCCCCCACCCAGGGCAGCCCTCGGGGGCCCAGGGCTCTGACATGTCTATCACAGACCGTTCCCTCGCACAAAGGGCGACCAGCCAAACCTCCCGGGAATGAGTGGCTTGAGCTGTGCCCTCATCTCAACCAAGCTGTGACCAAAAAAAAAAAAAAAAACAACCCAACCAGATGAAAATGAAGGGAGGGAAGAAGGGAAGGAAAAAGGGGAAAGATTGGAGACAAGAAAATGCAGAAGGGATTTAGGAAGCCAAGCCCTGCAGAGGCAGTGAAAAGTCCCTGGCACCGAGGTCCCCACCTGGCGGCTGCTCATTGGTATCACTGGGTCAGTGTCTAAGAAGTGCCTTGTCCCTGGTCCATCCTGATCCTGATTTCTGTGGTGCCGTTGTCTGGCTGGGCGAAGTAACTGGGAGATGACAAGCAACTTGCAGGTTGAAGCGAGAACTACCTTATTGCCAGTGAACTCAGCGGGAACTGAGCGGGAACTCAAAGTAGCRGGTACCCTAGCTAGCAGGCACCGCCTCTCCGCCAGACYGCAGAGGTACATATACCCAGCTAATTACACACAGCTCCACTTAATTAACATACAGCAGTCAGTCATTAAGGAATCCTTACCMTCTTAATGGCTTGCTGGCCTAGGCTCAGAAACCACTCCTCCTGGCAAACTGCCAGGCGCCATCTTGACTTGGTTGTGGCCCTCAKCACTGTGGCCCAGGCAGGGACCTGGACATTTTTGTTTTATTTTAAGCTCATTTCTGGAGTCAAAGGGAAGCTCACACAGGTTTCCTTTCTTACCCCAYGAAGGCTGCGGAGGCTCTGGGGACTGTGTCAGGCAGAAGGACCAGGAGTTGATTCCCCATGGTAGAAGGGGCTGGTGCCCTGGGACCTGTCAGGTCTGGGTCTGGGACAGAGCCTCCTTCCCTGGCCTCACTCAGCCCCGCCGTCCTGCACCCCTGGAGGGTGAGTGTGAGCAGCGAGTGGAAGAAGGGGGCTCTCCATCTGGTCCTAACCAGCTCCCGTGCACCTCTTGGTGATCCATGCGGCCATGTCCACAACCAGCAGTT